GGTCGTAAGTCTTTCGCAGAACTTTTCTCTTGAAAACTCGCAACGTTAATTCATCAGTTGTTGTCATCATCTAAGCCTCTGCATCATATGGCAGGACGGAAATTATGAGTGTCTTACGGAGTTTGGTTTTTTTTCGTCGAGAGAGAACTTTACTTCTCAATTGCTTACTCAGTCGGAAGTAGCACCTTTTGGTAGTAGTTATCCTGCGTTGGATTTCCAGGCTGACATTGTTGGTGGTGTTTACGCTGGTTCCAAGATAGACTACTTCAACAAAGGATTTGGGGATTATCCTTGACATCGAGCCAATACACCATCAAGTAAGGTTTAAGGCAATGCTTACTGCCAACCATCTTCCGAATTTAGACCACTGGAGCCAAGCGTCGCTATGAGCATATTATACTAGACTTTATTAATGAACTCGAGTTAAACACTCATTTTTATTCTTCCGTAGAAAAGATTGGGCTCATGGTTCCGTGATCGACAGTTCCAACGGCAAAATTTACATATTCACTGACGGATCAAAGGGTGAAGCAGCAACAGGTATATGTTTTTTCTGTAGTAATCCATTCACGAGATTCGGCAAGGCAATTAAGACCGTCCGTGGGCCAATAAAAGTCTCATTGCGTTAGGTTATGTAAGAGAACAATTAATAGACTTTTAGCCGGAAACTCACTTAATTTGCTATGCGAATGACAAGCCTTCAAACGGTTGAAAAGGGACATATTCCACGACTACCAATACTCTAACTTAAGAGAAATTGGACAAACGCCCAAATAGAAAACTGAATGAGAGGACCATCCTCGTAGCGTTGGACTTGTAAAAAGCCTTTGACAGAGTCAGTCACACAATGCTACTGCAGGACATTGAATAAACTACGCTCCCTTCAAGACTGAAGAGAAGCGGTCGTCAATCATCCATACTGTTTCAAGGAAAAAATTAGACTTGAGAAGTATTAAACAAGGACTTTCGTAAGGTGGTGTCCTCCCCCCGCTATTGTTTAACTTCTACATTTCGAAACTCCCACAGCCATCAGAGGGAGTTTAAAGCCAAACAGCTATCTCTCTGGCCTTTCTAGCTTTCTCTCTGGATGGAAATCCATACTACAAGAAGGAGTACAACCTTGATCTTAATATTGCAGTCGATGGCGGCAAGATTCCGAATGTCAATAACTCTAAGATGTTTGGTGTAACTTTTGATTATCGCCTTGTGAAAAGGCAAAGAAACGTTGTTGGCAACTTACAAGGCAACTGGACGGCCAGTACTCAACTACGCCGCAAAAATATGGTCGGCTGGATGCAGTGGAACGCAGATGATACGCACTGGATGCCTCCTTATGTCTCCTATTGAACACCTACATAGTGTATACGCCGACCAGACTTCCGACGCAACAATCTTCCTAAAAGCGCTGACCGCCATTCACAATAGAGGCGTCAACATCTTCACCGACTTTCTTCCAGTGAATGACATACTCGGAGTCAAACCACCACCCATCATAGACAAAGAGTTCGAGTTGTCCCGAGAAATGAGAGTGACTTTTGTGCAGCTTTGTTTTGTAGCAGGTTAAACTCCTACTTATCTAGAATAGACACCTACATATCCAATATATATTCTGCGTGCAATGAGCATTGGCCACCTCTTTGAATGCCCAACAAACCACACTCATCTAACACCCTTCTTCTTTTCGTCCGATCCCATCGCTACAGCACAATTTTCGTTAGATGCCGTCGCCGACAACTTGGTTAATCCTTACCTTGCCTTTTCTTAATTATCATAGAAACTGAACTGTCACACTGCTGAATTGACAACACATTGCATGCACATTGCATGCAATATATGTTATACTAATCTGTAATTTTGTATGGCATATATTGAATTCATTAACTATTTGGTCGGCTATTACACGAAGCAACTTTTGTTGCTGATTCTCGGGCTGTTGCTTTTGCTGTTGCCCATTGCATTCACACGAATGCACGAATGCTCTGTTGAGCAACTCTGTTCGAAGTTTTTTCTCATTCTCTTTCACTTTGCTTTAATCCATTGTCAACTCTTTACTTTAACCCAACTTTGTCGTTTCTTTTTCTTTATAGGTATTTGGGCCACTCTATCACATATATTAATCAGTTCTGTCAATTAAGAAACACATTTTATTTATAGTTCAAAATTAAAACAAAGGTTATATAGCAGATCTTCACTATCGTCTGAATCAATTTGTATGGCTTCCTCCATACATTTCACAATATCTTTAATTAATTAGATTTTTTCACCCCATTTTCTAAAATATTTAAATTATATTATGTATATTTGTATACATATTTGCAAATTACGTACGAAAAGATGAAATAAATATTTTTAAATATATTCGAAATATTAATTTCAAAATAATATACGCAAATGCAACTATGTACTACGAAAGAAAGAACACGAATGCAGAAAACCGTCGCAGCGAACTGTTACTAATAAGAACACAAAGCGATTTGCTGAGCACTGGAAACTCGGCGCGATTCTCCTCTCCTCGTCGCCCCCTCGCCCATAAACCAAGAGTTGCCGCTACAAAAGTTGCTTCGTGTAATAGCCGACTTTGGAGTCTCCGTTGGCAATACATACAGCATTACAGTTAGTATACCATAAACTGTTGTATATCCATATCATGAGTTAGCGAATATTTATCGATTATATTGTCGGTGTTTTACCAAAGGTAATTTCTACATTATTTGTTGAATCTGACATTAGATTTAGTTGTTGTTGATATTATTAATTGTGTACCACGTTTACATGATAATGGCGTCTGTTTTGTTAAGTAAACTGGATGTTGGATATCTGGAGAAGTGCAGTGGCGACAGTGGTCTTAATTATGGCATTATCATAGGCCAGGTAAGTTCAACTTTATGTTAATCCTATGATCTGTCGTTAGTTATTTGCTATTTAGTGAAAGTTCTCTGATCGCCATTCACTTCGGAGTGGCAGAAACGATTATTTTACATATGACTCAAGCAGCTCACGACTTCCGGTCTTTGACCAAGTATCCTCTGGGTAGCCTAAACCGCCGTTTGAAGGCAAAACATCGCCTCCACAAGGTTGTGGGCTGGGTTTGGGACCCGCAATGAAAGGGAACGGAAGAGAAATCCCCCTTCTGACACCCCATGCACCTGGAATGTCCGGTCCCTCAATAGAGAAGGTTCCACTGTCCAGCCGGTTGATGTCCTCGTCAAAATAAACTGACATCACCGTTCCAATGGTTGGGCATCATTTCTTCTCATCATATTTTAGAAAGAAGCAGAACCACGCTTCTGATCAGTTCTTTGCCACCGTGTTTGAATAGCTCAGCCGGCGATCCGGCCCCCTCGTTTTGTTGTTCTTCAGACGAAAGAATTTTAAGTAATCCATAATTTTAGTAGACTCTGGTTACTAGATCACCTTGGGGGGTTTTACATGAGTATGCTCCGGTTTTGAAAGCTTCTGTTAGTCGACACATTTAGAATTTTCGAGCATTACCCCTGTCGACCAGCTTATCAAGCTCTTCATACTCACGCATTTACGCCCCTTTCGTTTTCTGTCTGCAAATGCTGTTCGTAAGGATGCTGAAGTGTTGTCCCTCAGTTCCCCTATACCGAGTTGTTGATAAGTCCTCTCAGAGAGCAGGAGTGTAAGTCGAGTAGAAAAATCGTTCGGCTATCTGTTTTGATTGCAGATTCTCGACGTCGAACCATCCTTGTATTTGCTGACGTGCGGTTTTTGCTGCACAGAAGCGAGTGCGCATCTTAACTGCAACAAAATACGCACATCTAAAACACTGGAGACGTGCCATCCGTCTATCACAACATGATCGATCTGGTTGGTGGTTTTTCAATCCGGAGACAGCCAGGTAACTTGATGAATTTTTATATGCTGGAATTTAGTACTGCAGATAAACATATTTCGGGCCCCGGCGAAGTCGGCCAGTCTCAATTCATGTGGGGATGTTTCCTTGTGGAGGCTGAATTTACCGACTGTTGTGCCAAATAATGTAAATGGTCAGAAACGAACGGCTACCATTCTTACCTCCTATATAGGTCATTTCGATCTAACTCTTTCTTTGTACATTATACAAATTAAAACCAATACATTTTCTAACTTTTATTCGATAAAACGTCATATAATAAATAATCTAATTGCCTCTTACCTCGAAATAATATTAATTTTAATCATTCACTTTAATATGTGAGTGATATTAATGAAACTCAGACAGTTTTTCTGCTGATAATGCGCCAAAAATGGAGGAGTTCAAACACTTGTAATACATAAGCAAAATTAAGTAAACAAATACTATTCGATATACCAAAGTTTAAGGAAATATAAAAAAAATTKATTTATTTTATGATTCGATAGGTGAGATATTCAAAAATATCCCTGCAAGGGATTTCCAAAATTCATTTTATTTCCGAAGTTACTGCCCTTTTTATGTCGTTGGCCGGACGTTGACCGGTTTGAGCCGCCGACGTAGCTTTGACAGCGTTTTTTTCGAAACTACTTTTTCCGTTACAAATGCCACAAATTAGTGGAAAATCGACCTTTATTTTTGAGAGGTTTTTTTTTTTTTAAATTCCAACTTACTGAGATAGCGACATTCTTCTAATCCAGAATCCTATAACTCAATAAACATTTTTTAATTACTTTTGTGAACTTTTTAAAAAAATAAATGATAAAAAAAATATAGTAAAACTATCTAATACTCTTTTTACCAAAAGCCAAAACAACGCTCGAAATTTGACCCTCTGAACAAGAATATCCTCTTAAGGGGTTACAATTTTTTTCTCATATAAAAAAATTAAATATTTTGTGAGAATTTTTCTGAAATAAAAAAAAATGTATATATTTTAAGGAGAAGTTAGGGTTTTTTTAATTCGTTTTTCTCAAATTTAATTTTTCAAAGTCCTTGTTCACTGTCAAAACTTTGTATACATTTTTAACATATGTATAAAATACCTGCATAACGTTTAGAATTTTTTTATTAAAGGTGTGAAAACCACAGAATGGCGGAATTTTTGGTGGAAAATAACATCTTACACTTTAAATGAAAAAAGTTATCAGAGAAAAAAATTATGCAGCCGAGTAATTATCACCGCAAATTGTTTCTTTTTCTGCATGAAAAAATTACCCTGTATTGTCAAAAGTGTGCTCAAGAATGTACGAAAGGTCCGAAAAAAATTGCTCGATCCATATTTAAGAAATAAATTCGCCGGAAAAGTCGGCCTTTACGACGCCATTTCCGGTGACCGTCTGGATAAAAGATATGCCCGCGTTGGTAGGATGATTCCCAACAGAATCGTCTAARTGAAAAACTACGTGTTTTAGTTAAATCTTCAAACTTGGTCGAATGAAAAAAAAATAAAATAAAAATAAATATAAAAAAAATTAAAAATTAGTTAGGCGTTCGGTAAGGTCTGTCATGTAGACCTTTTATGGAAAATCAAAAACGTTTTACCTTACGGATTGCATAAAACTTTGGAGTCATATTTAAAAAACAGGCAATTTAGAGTTAAAGTAGCAGACTTCATATCAGAAGAACGAGTAATAAGGGCTGGTGTACCTCGTGGTAACGTGCCAGGTCCAATTCTGTACATAATATATACAGCAGACATTTCAACAACTACTAACGCATCTATTTTCGCAGATGACACAGCTCTAGTGAGCCGTAACAAATGCCCCATTAGAGCATCAAGACTATTAGAGCAGCTCTTAACTTTTATCGAAGAATGGCTAGCCAACTGGAGTAAAAGTATTATTGAGCAAAAATGCAGGCATATTACATACTCGCTAAGACCAGAAACGTGTCTGACAGTTAAAATAAACAATGCTCCAGTACCCCAAGCGAATGAAGTAACTTTTGTCGGGATTCAGCTGGATCGAAGGCTCACATGGCGAAAACATGCAGCGAGTAAAATAACTAACATGAAGTTTTTAAGGCTTTTAAAAAAAATTCCTGTTTTACCACCATACTTTACATACGTAATGAAAACGTTCATATCTATATTAATATTCATCTTGATATGATAAAGATGGAGATAGAAGACAGCAGAATGAGATATATATCTGAACTTCGCGAACATCCAAACCCATTGGCTAATCCCTTGGCAAATTGACCGGAGCGTCAACTCGGCATAATTCTGCCGCTGGTGCAAGAAGCCGCGCTCCCTACTGCTTCAGCTGCTCACAAATTCGTAGTTCACTATTTCTAAAAGCGGGAATGAAGCGAGTGGTGGCAGTGGTGGTTCTGCCAATCTAGAACTACCAATATTTTTGGCTATTGTGGAATAACCAGAAATTTTGATCTTTTAGAATATCTACTGCTTGCAGTTACGTCTCGCTTTTTATCCATTTTCTATAAAAGGACAAGAACTGTTGAATAAACATTGTTAGGCAGATTCAGTAATTAATTAATATTTTATTTTAAATACGATCTGTATTTACTCTTTGCATAATTTCAGATGTTCACCCATACGCATTAACGTTTATGTCGGAGGGATAAAAAACGATCACTGTAATCAATTCCCAAATATAGCCCAAAATTTAAAAACATTGTTAGAAAATTCAAAATATACGTAATGCGATGGCCTTAAGTTGGCTCCAACTATTCCAGGTGTAACATTTGGCGTTAATGGAACAGGACCAGGAGGATACCGAGCAACCTTACTGCTACGTGTTCCCTAAAAGTGATGACCGCATTAATTTATTACTTACCTATCCAGGCAGGGTTAGATCCTCGAAATAACTTCCTCCAGCCTTAATCTATCTATAATATAAGTTAATAAGATACCAAATATGATTGTAATTCTATTGAAAACTAAAATATAATAATATCCAGCGAGATCCTTGAAAATACGAATTTGGTTGCTATTCTGGCGACTAAGCAAATCTGCATTGATATTCTCAACAATCCTTAATAATCTGATGTTTTCTGTAATTTTATATTTATAGAATGTTAAATCGGAAAGCTTCTTAGTAGTACATCTTGCAAAAAACTGTGAAGAGGACATGGAAATCTTACTAAAAGCCAACGAGAATGAATTATTACAAGGACCAACCTCCATAGCCGATATCAGCACCCAAGCTTTAGCTACGCAGTGGACTGCCGCCAGCAAAATGTGTCCTGGCTCATTTAATGTACAAGGTACGTAAGAAAAGGTCATATGTGAAGTCACAATGATGTTTTAGCAGTTAGGTTGGGCGCTGTATTACACCCCGTTTGGGTGTAAGCAAATAAAGTTGATGGTGTAAGTACCCAAAGGTTAGTGTATTGCCTTAATAACACATTTATGGAAAGATAATATTTGATATTTTCTATTCATGAGGCATTATGTTTTATCGAAGTGCGGTGTTTTTCGCAGGTATAATGATTATTTTTCTGCATTATTAAAGACCGATAAACGTGCAGGTGAGATGATGGTCCGTAATTCTTTCTGATGAAATTTTTATTCGCCAACGATTTTATCCATAATGGATAGTGTGGTGAAGAGGTTCTCGGTAAATCCTGTGAATTTAACAAATTTACAGTTGTCCTTAGAAATAAAAAACAGGTGATTTCCTGATTCAAAGATTACGAAACACACCTAGCGATGGTAGTATCCCACGACAGTCGGGTCTACGAAAACCGGAACGGATCCGGATTTTTATCCGGCCAAGGACTGTCAACTCGGCAGAATTCTGCCGTTACAACAACAACAACATGGTAGTATCATGCGAGCTATTAGAGCACCCTTAATTTTGGTGGGGCTTCGTCGTTCCTTTTGCGGAATGTCGAATCGTATATCTGTCACGGAAAGATATGCCCTGATATTCTAGGATAGTATCCAGTGGTCGATCTCGCCGTCGATAAGTTAAGTTATTTGTGCAGACTAGGCTTCCATCATTATTTCGCTTGATCCGAGTAGTAGTCATGTTGCCTAGTTGAGCTCCTTTGTTGATTACTCCATATGCTCATGAAAGTTTATTGGCTTCGTGTAAATGCTGAAATAAATATTTGTAATGGTTATCTTTCGAGCTGTGGTAGACATTCTCCCTGTCTACGAAAAAATTTGTCGACTAACAGAAGGTTTCAAAACTGGAGCATACTCTTGTAGAACCCCCCAAAGGTGATCTAGTCACCGATGCCCCGAGCATACTTAGATTATGGAGAGAACACTTCTCCAGCCTGATGAATGGCAGTGAACGTACAACGCGAGGAAATGGCGAACCCGATTCCCCAATCGATGACGATGGAGCAGATGTTCCATTGCCCGGCCATGAAGAAGTTCGAACAGCAATTATCCTCCTGAAGAAGAACAAAGCAGCGGGGTTCGATGGACTGCCGGTCGAGCTATTCAAACGGCGAAGAACTGATAAGGAGCATGTAACAGCTTCTTTGTAAAATATGGTCGGACGAAAGCATGCCCAACGATTGGAATTTAAGCGTGCTCTGCGGTATCCACAAAAGGAAGACAAACTGATTGGACCTTATCAGTGTGGCTTTAGATCTGGCAAGTCAATAACCGACCAGATATTCATGCGCCAAATCTTGATATCATCGGCCTTAACACCCGCGCCGTTAGTTCTGCTTTCTCCAGACTGAGCAAGGAAACAAAACAAATGTGTCTGAACGAGAGCAAAACGAAATATCTCCTGTCATCAAACAAACAGTCGTCACACTCGCGACTTGGCTTTCACGTCACTGTTGGCATTCATAACTTTGAAGTTGTAGATAGTTTCTTATATTTGGGAAACACCATAAACACCAATATCAGCCTGGAAATCGAACGCAGGATAACTCTTGCCAACAGGTGCTACTTCGGACTGAGTAAGCAATTGAGAAGTAAAGTCCTCTATCGACAAACAAAAACCAAACTCTATAAGTCACTCATAAGTCCCGTCCTGCTAAATGGTGCAGAGGCTTGGACATTGACAACAACTGATAAGTGGACGTTGCGAGTTTTCGAGAGGAAAGTTCTGCGAAAGATTTATGGTCCTTTGCGCGTTGGCCACGGCGAATATCGCATTCGATGGAACGATGAGCTGTACGAGATATATGACGACATTGACATAGTTGAGCGAATTAAAAGACAACGGCTACACTGGCTAGGTCATGTCGTCCGGATGAACGAAAACACTCCAGCTTTGAAAGTATTCGACACAGTACCCGCCGAGGGAAGCAGAGGAAGAGGAAGACCTCCTGTCCGTTGGAAGACTAAGTGGAGAAGGACCTGGCTTCGCTTGGAATATCCAATTGGCGCCACGTAGCGAAAAGAAGAAATGACTGGCGCGCTGTTGTTAACTCGGCTATAAAAGCGGCTGGTGTCTACGCCAGTAAAGAAGAACAAGACTGGTATTGAGACCGTTGTTCGCGCATTGCTTGATCGTTTTAGAATTATTCCTAGTGCATATAGTCACTTTGAAGTGGCTTCGCGGGTTACTCCCAATGTTGAAGTCTTCTTCCATTTGGCACGGATCCGGATTGAGCAATGCCTTCAATTTACCGTCTTCGAAGATTTTTAGCCGTCTTTCGCGCGGACGGTCGTTATTATCGAAATCACCGATTGAAGCAATTAAACGCGTTCCCACGACAGTCGGGTCTACGAAAACCGGAACGGACCCGGATTTTTATCCTCCCAAGGACTGTCAATTCGGCAGAATTCTGCCATTACAACAACAACACCAACGTTAAACGCTAAAGTGTTTAGAGTTCACAAGTTGCTTCAGATGCCGGTTTCCTTGACTGAAAGAAGAAAACCAACATATTCGCTCAATCAAAAATGTATGACACATAAACAAAGTTACTAATGTTCAAACGCAGTTTCTGTTTCAAATGTCTATGATGGATATTATTCACCAGTAACTGCTGGAGTAATATATTGTGAAATAGCGGGGAGTTAATTGCATAGTTGCGCAGCTTATATTTGACTTTAAGAAAATACAAAAGTGCTGTCTACTCTTATCCCTTAATATTTATTTGTATTCTTAAGAAGGACTTTATAGTCTATAATTATAGACAAAAATAGTATCTATTTGTATAATAATTTTTATACAAAACAGTGTTTTAAAATTCATTTCTTATTTTAAAGGCGTTTTTGTTACCAGTGAGAAGCAGAACTTTGGTGATGAAAATACAAATATTGCTGCAAAGAAAATGTTGCACGAGTTGCACAAGTAAGAAAGTCTTCTATCGTAAAGATATCAAAAACTTAAATATTTTTATTACAGTATACTCTTTCAGGGTAATGTTTTCTGTACCTCAGTTGATGAAGAGAATCCAGCTTTGATATTTCTGGCATATTCAGCAGCAAGCAAGAAAGCAATTTGTCAAGCTTATACGAATGATATGACGTAAGTACAATAAGCAAAGTTTATTTTTTAAATTTTTATACTCTCGCAACATGTTGCTATAGAATGTAATAGTTTTGTTCACCTAACGGTTGGCGATATGACGCTGAAAATTTATAAAAAGTGGGCGTAGCGGCGGCCTATAGTTGGTTTAATCTACATACATATCTTAACATTTTGATTGGTTATATCAATCAAATTTACTCAAGATAAATCTTTTTAGTACTTCTCCCAAGTGGGGAAATTTGTTCGGTTAAAACACTGATTGCTTTTAAGGGACTTTTGTTTTTGTTGCTGTTGTAACGACAAATTTCTGCCGAGTTGACAGTCCTTAGTTGGATAAAAACCGGGTCCGTTCCGGTTTTCGTATACCCGACTGTCGTTAGAACGGCTTTTAAGGGACTCTTGACTGTCGCTAAGAATGGCGATTCGTTCGTTGCGTTGGAGGTTTATCTCTGCTTGGAATATGCTCGGAAAACTTCCCATACGTATGGAAATTTTGGATGGTGTTGGTAATCTAACTATAACTTGGTGAAAACGGATCTGTTATTTAAAGCTACAATCCGGTGTTGAGAAAACGGTCCTTAGACATAAATGTGCTCACATAACATAGATAACTAACAAATACACATGCAATTTTTTTGTGTGGGCATTTGCTGTTATGAGATAATTATTCTCGAAAAGGCGTTGGATAGCTACATATGTTCGGTCTGATATAGCGTATGTTTGAATTCCTGAACCATTTAAAAATTTTATGGGAATGACAAACAATCATATGGAGAATAAAATGAAATAGTTTTCACTCAATGCAAGTCTTTACTTTACCCGCCGGCGGTAAGATATGAAAAAAATAACATTAAGTTTTAAAAATATATTATGTGTTTACTTACTTTATTGATGTTCGTGGGACATGTTTACTAGAAAATTAATTATTATTATTTCTCTTTTTTGCAGGGGCGGCTCGTTTGCATCCATGAATTGTCAGTTCATAGATAAACCTATAGACTGGCATACTTTTGAATGTTGCTATGAATTGGATGAAATATTTCCAATATTTGATGATTCCCAGAGAATTAATATAGAGAATCAATTTCAACGTGCCTTGTTAGCAATGAAACGAAGTTTATCCGAAAGTGAAATGTTTATAGAAAACATTTGGGTGGATGAATCATTATCTCTGGATGGGTTCGCAGCAAACAATCGAAAGAAAGTCGCAAATGAAAATTACAAAGCTACAATATTTTTACCAGTAAAATGTCATCAATATAATGAGCACTCGGTCAAAGTACGGAAATTCAATGGGACAATTCGACTTTCTGGCATTATTTTTTCGAGAATTTGGTGCAGCAATAAAAACACATTGGGTGATGTTAAGCGATATGTACAGAATGATATATTACGTTCATTAGCGGCCAGAATTCAAGTTTATTGTGACGGATTAACCGATCCTCATGTTAACAACGACTCTGTTTTCATAAGTGAACCTCCGCGACGTGTTTTCTTTAACTTATTCGCTGATGGAACAATCAATCCAATACAATTCTCAGAGTATATATTTCGTGGAGAAGCGCCAACAGTAGCTGTGGCCCAAGCTAAACAAGTTCTCGATTTAGATATTAGTTTAGAAAATATTGTTGCAGACTTAGAGGGTTTGCCCGATGATGAAATATTTAGTGATATATCCTTAGGTAATGTACAAAAGAATTCTCCACAACCGATGGTTAACACAGAAAAATACTTAACACGTTCCATGTACATATTAGGGATAACCATCTCTCTTTTAGTGCTGTTATGTTCTATTTGGTTGCATTATTTCTTTCCTTAATTAGACTTGTACCTAATGATAATTTTCTAAATAACTAAAGTTTTATATATAATAAATTTTGTTTATACATATATTTATAAAAACTTTGATTGTTTGTTTAATATTCAGTTTTATTTATTTAAAAAACTTGTACATTATATCATGTCTTTTAAACAAAAGAACCTTTGTAATTTAATCAATTTGAAAATGGTTAATAAAAAAACATATTTCTCGTATATCTATTGTCTAATACCTTCTTTGGAATAAATCCGTTTCAATAAGTTTAGTGTTTATGAGTTGCCTTATCAGCAAGCAATTTACGTTTTAATAAACTCTTCCTTTGAAAATCTTAAAAGCACATTACGGCCTAACAGACTCAAGCATGCTTGTAAGAGATTTGAGTGGTAATTAGATCCGATGTGAAGAGAAAAAGGTACATAAATGCCTATTGAAATTTAAATTTTATTTTCTGTTTTTGTAAGTAATATGCAAATAAACGTTATATTATATAATAGAAATATTTTAGATGAAAATTCCGCGATGCAGTTATCCAGATTGTAATGAATGCAATCGAAGTAGTATAGAATTACCGGCACCTCATATACCCAACATACCTAAGTCTGATATCAGCATTCGCCGAAAGTACTTACAAGTTATATCTTCAGATCCCATATGTAGAATAGCATTGACGGTTTTATAGAACCAGAGAACCACATTTGTTTTCAATTGCTCCTCTACAAGATATAGAAGCATTCCTCATGTTCTCCTCATCATTTCCCTTTCATGAAATATAAAATAGGTTGTAAGTACTTTAATTTGTCCATTGACTCAAATAACATTACTGATTTTTTACCTAGTAGTAAATGAAACTAGTTCAGTTTTATTTTGAATAGCCATAGCTAATCCATTTCTATCTGCCCATTTTATATCGTAAATGGTGTTTAGGAACTTTCATTTTATTAGATGTACATCGCCCGCCTAGGTAACCACCTGACCGCCTCATTCTTAAGTTTCTCAAAGGTTGTTAGCCACAGTATCCAGTATCGGAAAGGAGGCTATTCTGATATGTTAGTGATTAACTTCGACTTAAAATTTATCAAGAGCTCTAATAATAGAACGGGTTGGTCTTCTCGACCCCCGCGAGCTTTTACATTTGGTCCCCGAACCTACCATGAACCTAGCATAAGTTCCTCAACCTTACCTACGTTCCTGCTGGCAGAGTTCTGCCCCAGTACTCCGCGGCCTGTCAGAGTTTAAATGGGACGGACTCTGTCTCGACTTTAGTATATCAACCATTTTTGTAGGATGTCACTTACATATATTCAGGTGACGGAATACTTTGACCACTAACATAGGGTACAACCAAGTCCAACAAAGCTTCAACCCTGATATTATAGTGCGAGTCAAATCCGAGGCCAAGAGGTCTGTTAGGATTTCTCACAGACCACGAAGGCCCTAGGTCATTTACCGATACCACGGAGGTGACATACATACCTTGCATCTCCAACCTAAGGTAACATATCCCAATTAAAACATAGAAATGAAATATCAGTAAATAACAATACCAATATATGTAAATATGTATAGAAAGTATCAGGAATTCTTCGCTTATATGGAAGACAGGTAGATTTTTTCCCCCTACAACTATCCCTAATTATGATGCCAAAAATTAGCGTTATCTGTCAACAAGTGTGTTTACAGCAGCTGTTTATGCCAGTTGACCTCAGTAGTTTGTCGTATTTTAAAATTAAAATCGACGTACTCGTGTTAAATTTTGGCCAAACACTCAACAAATATCATTGAGCAAGCACCGTATTCATTTTTACCTTTCTCCATTGGCATCAAAACAAATTAGACGCAAGAGCTGAAGGCCATCCCGGAAAGTGCCTTCCGGGCACTCCGGGCAAAAAAATTTCGTTTTATTTATAAAGTTCCGATACTTTCTTGACGGGGGTGCATACATATATGTATGGTACATTGGGTTGTTCAATAGGGACGCTACAAAAGTAGAGCGAAAGGGACAACGACGCCATACTTTTTCCGCTCTTTTGGCATTTTTCTTCTGTAATGTTTGCCATTTCATCATGAAAAGATATACGATCCAACAAAGAGATGAAATTATTACAATTTACTACCGAAATTCGGAGTCAGCGGCCTTAACTTTAATAGCGCTATGCCTAATTTATGGTCGTCATAATCGTCCTGTCAGATTAACAATTGATGGTGTAGTGGAAAAATTAGAACCCACAGGCATAGTACAAAATGCCTCCGTGCCAGTGAGACAAAGAAGTGCACGTAGTGTCGAGAATATTGTTGCCGTTATCGCAAGGAAGACCCAAATCAGTTAGATATTTACTGATTTAAAAGAAGACAATGATTTTACAATACTGGTTAGAATTTCAATTAAGACTTCGAAAAATACTTTTACAACGAATGCTAGCAAAATTAAGGCTACTAAATTAAATTAATTACTTATGCTCCAGTACATGTGCACAATTTTCATGATTCCAGAAATAATAATGTAAATGCAAGCAACGGAGCTTTGGAAAAAAATATGCTGGATGAGCAAAACCGTAACTTATCACAATATCGATGTCAACTGTCAAAACTTTGTCTAACCCGAAGAGTCTTGACGACCGATTTGATGTTCAATTCATGCCTCTTCGGACCCGAAGAAGTGCGCGTGCTATTTTAGCCAGCAGTTTACACTGCACCCTTCGGTAGACAAAGCCAAACGATGTKTTAACCGACGGCTGCGCAAAACGCCAAACGACGGCGCGCCACTTACTTTCACTGATGAGGAGGTTCAGGGTGTCATCAACAAAGCGAGGTCCGGAAGAATGGTCCCACTACTGAAACCTGAGAAACCCGCCAACAAAGGGGAATCTTATCGACCGATAACTCTCCTCTCCCCAGTAGTGAAGACACTTGAGGTCTTGTTACTCCCGACCTTCACTCCCCACGTGAGCCTAACCAGCCACCAGCATGGATTCCGAAAAGTGCACAGTACCACCACAGCACTTAGCGTCATAAACGCTCAGATAGTTCGTGGCCTCAACCAGAAACCACCCTGTGAGAGAACGATCCTCGTTGCGTTTGACCTGTCAAAAGCTTTTGACACGGTCAAYCACACAACGCTACTGCAGGACATTGAGAAAACCACRCKTCCTCCAGGGCTCAAGAGGTGGACCATGAACTATTTGAATGGTCGTCAGTTATCCGTACTATTTCGAGGTACATCTAAATTGAGAAGAATTAAACAGGCGGTTCCGCAGAGTGGTGTCCTCTCCTCTCACCGCTACTGTTTAACTTCTACATCTCGAAACTCCCACAACCACCTGAGGGGGTTTCCATAACCTCGTACGCAGAWGACTGTACGATATTGACGCCGGGCAATGGAATCGATGGCATGTGTTCGAAGGTAAACAACTACCTCACCGACTTTTCTCGTTTCCTCACTGCACGGAACCTTCAACTTTCCCCCATCAAATCTACAGCGACCATATTCACGAACCGGACGAAGGAGTATAGACTGGAACTTAATACTGCAGTCGACGGCGCCAAATTCCGACTGTCAATAACCCTAAGATTTTAGATGTCACCTTCAACAGTCTATGCTCCTTCTCTCCCCATACGACCGCGATTATTGCCAAAGTACAGAGCAAAATCCTAAAGTCGCTAGCCGGCAGCCCATGGGGAAAAGACAAAGAAACGTTGTTGGCAACTTACAAGGCAATCGGCCGCCCGGTCCTTAACTGCGCAGCACCCATATGGTCGCCTGGATGCAGTAACACGCAGATGAGGAAACTCCAGACCTGCCAGAATACAGCACTCCAGATCACGACGGGATGCCTTTTGATGTCTCCTATCGAATACCTACATCACTATGTCTCACAAGACGCTTATGCTCCCAGTTAAAGAGCATAATGAACTCCTCTCCAAGCAGTTCCTGCTTGGATGTTTTCGTAGAAATCATCCTTGCAGTCATCTGCTTAGAGCGGAACCGCCTCCTAGGAGCATCAAGAGGCCATTCCATGATACGTACAATTCGCCGACAGGACCTCGGACGCAACAGACTTTCGACAGGAAATGACCGCCTTTCACAGTGGAGCCATCAACACCTTCACCGACTCCCTTCCCGTGAATAGCGTACTTGGGAGTCAAAGCACCACCAATAGCAGACAAAGAGCTCGAGTTGCCGCGAGAATCGCGAGTGACCCTTGCGCAACTTCGTTCTGGATATTGTAGCAGGTTAAACTCCTACTTATCCACAAAAGACTCTGACATACCTAATGTATGTCCTGCATGCAACGAGTCTCCGCATGACACTGACCACCTCGTCACCTAGATGACGTCGTCATTTTTCATGTTGTATTGAATGTACTGTTGAATGAAAATGAATGAAATGCCATTTATTTTATGAGGTATGCATATCTTTGACTTTGCGCAACAAATTATTTTTTGTTAAAATCGCGAAGAAATGACTTTGCCACAGTTTTTTTTATTCAAAAGTATAGGCATGGAGATATGTACAAAACTAATACAAAATAACTCTTAAAAAGTAGCATCAGTTAAATTTGCAATTCGAGAAATCCATTTCAGGATGCTGCATTTTAAACCTAAAAATAAATATATTTAAACTAGTTAAAGAAAACGATTATTTACAATAATAATTACTTCTCCATTATTTCCATTTTTCTTTTGTCTTCGCTGGTTGGCAATCCCATTTCTTTTTGACGTTGATCGTACATCATTTTCTCAACCAAACTTCGTGTTTCGCCATCCAAATCAGAAAGTTTTGAAGGTTCTGGATTAATTTTACGTGTTGATATAGGTTGATCTGTTGCAACTAAACGGTCCCACCAATTCATTTTATTAATCTAAAAAGATGAAAAGTTTATGATTTTCACACTAAAGATTATTCGTATCATAGAATGTGATTACGACAATTTCTCTAAATAATTTACTAATTTGTGAATATTTGCTGATATTGATTATTTTATTGTATTTGGCATTTCTTTTCGTTTTGAAATTTCTTCAAGTAAATATTTACAATGAATTTAAATG